TGAGGGTGGAATAAAGAAAGACAGCTCTAACTTCAGTTGCAGAGAAATCAGATTTTTTGTCATGTGAAGGTCCATGACAGTATTTACTGCTTTAGGGTTTACCAGTAAGTGACACTGCAAGAGCTCATCGCATCTTGATAATACACAAAATGCTGTAAATGCTTTGCATGCTGATTTATTTCTAAACCCAAAATTTCATCCCAAGTGGGATTTAATTTTTTTTTTTTTCTGTGACAGCTAAGCACTTAGACTCGGCATCATGCTTTTAATCAGTGCCTTTTTTTACCAGTGTAGCTATTAAGCTGAGATACAGGAACAGAAGGGGTTTTAAAAATTCAATTCATCTTAGTACTTTGTGATCCATCTAGTGATGATTGTTGCATGCATTTTGAGTTTTTCAATTCTGTGTTATTAGCATTACATACAACATATGAGAAATTGTGTAAAATCATTTTTATTGAAAGTAAACTAAAAACTGGCAATTTTTCTGTTAGTCTAAGGTTTTATAACAACTTGTTTATTCCAAGTATAAATTCAGAGACAGATTTGTCTTGTACTTTAATAATAGCCACAGAATACTGCTAATAAATGCTGGAGAACTTGTCAATGCTCAAACAAGCTTGAAGATATTTGAATTATTTGCCAGACTTAGCATTTACACTGATGGAGTTTCGGCTAGAATATATGTTCTAGATGGATCAGTTAGCATTGGGTGCCAAGCACCTATTCTTAGTTTTTGCAGTTGTCTGTGTTTCTTTAACATTTTCATAAGCTAGAAATCATTATTAACCCTTTATAAACCATTCATAAATGTACCCTGAATAAAAAAGTGTGACCATTCAGGACTTTTTTTTCTCAAGTTTAATATTAAAGGCAAGTCCAAGGTCAAGATGGGCACAGGGAGGCTTTAGGGAGCTGATGTAGTTTATATTTTGGCCAGTCAGCTGAGGAACCACGTGGAGCTAAAATTAGTAAAGTGTGGGCAGTGAAGAAAGTTCACACGGTGTAATATGCTGTGGGCAGTATTAATGTTGATTTACCCAATCTGTTAATGCCATGGTCTGTCTAGACCTTTGGAACATTCCTCAGCTCCTTATTTAATTGAGGAGGAATAATTTCTGAAATTAGCATATAAATTGTCCAGAGTCATCAGTGTTTAAAGCAGTGTTCTACCCTTGTGTCATGGCACAGTAACTGTTCTGAAAAAAAGAAATTTCCCAGTCAGGCACGTTCTCATGAAGAAGCTCTTGACTTTGCATTGCATGCTGAAAAAATGCATAAATCTGAGAAAGTTCATTAAGTTTAAAATGGGGAAATGGTCAGGATTTGATTTGGGTGAGCTGTATTTATTTAGTCACGTTAACATGGGGAAGTGGATTATGATAAGGAAGCACCTGGCAAGGTCTGTCCATGTAGATTTACATGTATGGAGTTGAAACTGAAGGCTTTTCTGACTTTGACATTATTTTTTTTTTTCCTTTCCTTGGTCTTCCACATGATTTGTATCAAGCCATGCTGTAAGGTGCACTCATCCCAGGGCTCACTCTGACTGGCACTCATGGGAGAACAAGTCTGTTCCTGATACCTGGCACTGGGATGCTGCCAAAATAAGGTGCCAGGAAGCTGATGTAGGCAAAGCCTCTTCCCTGGCTTTTGTTCTTTTGTTTCATCTTCTGAAATCCTATACTTACTCCTTTCCGCTTTAGTTGCCAAGAGTAACGTGCAGCACTGCCTTCTAGGTTATAATTTTCAAGGGAAGATAATAAAACATGCATTCAGCCTGGGAAATCCTGCAGGAGCTGGGAACTTGCTTTTTAGAAAGAGCAGGTGTAGCCAGAGATGAAAAATAAAATGTCAATATGATGTGGAAGGTTTATTTGGCATGAATCTGAGATGACCACACTGAGCAGTGGAGCCAAGGAAATCTTTGTACTAGGAAATCATGTGTTCTGAGCATGCCATGCACTTTACAGAAGAGCTATTCCAGGAATGTTGCTTGAGAGTTTTATAGGTTTATTTGGTACTTATTTTTCGTCTCCCTTGCTCCAAAAGCCAGGTGCTTTAATCACAATGAAATTCACTGCCCAGGTAATGGAAGGAAAGAAATGGAAAATAATGCAATTACAGCAAGTCCTAAAAATGATCTAAAATAACATTTTTATATGCAACTAAATAATAATTTTAAGTTGGAATTTCCTTACCTCCCCAGAGTTAAATAGTGAATTTCTTACCAAAAATGTCTTATTAAAAAGCTTTTTTCCATTCCAGAAAAGTATGGCATATGGTCAGGAAAGCCTCCAAGATGCTGGATCCTAAATTTGTCATGGTCCCAGTGTCCATCCTGTATGTTGCCCTAGTATTCTGAAGAGAATATGTATCAGAGGAGAGGGGCAGATAAGGTTTTTTTTCCTGATTGAATAGTGAAGAAGTGTTCAAGAAGGTAAAAAAAGCCCAACAAAACAACAAAAATCAGCTCCCTCAGAACAATTAAAAAAATATTTTAAAAAAAGCAAAACTCATGTGGGTAAACACAGGAGTACTGATAGGTACATACTACTGCAGCCAACAGGGTTTGTATTCTGTGCTAGAGCAGGGAGGCCTTGGCTGAAGGGGCCTGAGCTTGACACAAATCAAAAATCACAGTACAAGGTGCCTGGCAGAGGGAATGGCTTGAGGGGGACCACGGGGAGCTGTGGCCTGTGTGTGGATGTTGCAGATGGGGTGGGATGGACACGCGGAGCCTCCCCTCCAGAGTGAGCGATAGCAGCTGTTTTGTGGTGTGAGCTTAGCAACCCAAGGCTTGCGTGTATTTCACAAGCTTCAGGGTGTCTGACCCAAAAATAACCATGCTCAAAGGTGTCAGAATGTACCAGAAGAACCAGTGCAGGCTCGTGGGGGTAGTGCTTTGGGACAGGCAGGGATTGAGGAGGTGCTCTGTGACATCTCAATGCACTTCTCTGCTGTAGCTCCCAGGAGCTGCATCTGCCAAGCTTGGGGTAGTAGCTGTGCTTTTCACAGGTACCTCTGAGGGACCAGATTGGGATTATCTCAATAAACTTGTTCCCAAGTCAGCCCAAATTCTGTGACACAAAAACGTGGTGTTGGGCACAGTGTCACATTCTTATGGTCTGCATTTGTTTGAATGGTCCCCAGAGGAAAAAGGATTTTCTTATCTGTGCTCCTGTGATATTTTGTAGCTTTGGTAAAGGACGTATACTTGTTTTTATGTTTTCCCCTAAAAATATTTCTGCTTCAGTGGCATTTTAAATGTTTGAAGGGTTTCCCCCTCCCTTCTTACTCAATTTAATTGGAATTATGGTGCCTATCAAAAAATATTACTGCAAGGTGACCTGGAAATAATAATTTCCTTTAATCTATACCAAACGTTTGTAGATCATTAAAATGTCACAAATAAAAAGACTATTAGTCACAAAGAAATGGTCTTATATGAGCACAGTAAAATATGAGATTTCATTATATACAAAAGGGCTATGTTTTGTATTCCTTGTTCACAGAGGAATCCTCCAACACATGTGGAATGCATGGCAGGATGTAGGACCCTCTAAGGGGTGTACACAGATATGTGAGGGGAAAGAGGAGGGGGAGAGTGGGGAGGAAAAAATAAACCAACAAAAAAAAGAAGGCACAATGGTTCTGAGGAAACGACCCCTTTCAGTAACAAATGGAGCATGTGCTCTGGGTGTGCGGGAGGATTTGTGCCGGGATCTCACTCTGCATGTGTGCGCATTCCTCTGAATCAGACAGGTGTTAAAGTGAAATGGTGCCCAGGGGATGCAGCACCCTCCCATGCTATCAGCAGCCCGAGCACATGACGGATGCAATGGCAGCCAAGCACAACTGCTGAGGGCTTTGCCAAGGGGTTTAGATGCCAAATGCTGACAGAGAGTATCCTTGCCAGCTTGGCACCTTTAGGCCATGTGGCTGCTGCTGGCATGGAGTTGTCATTGTAATGTGCTGGGAAGAATGGAACCAGAAACTGTCTTAATAGTCCTGTGTGAATGAAGCTCTCTTATTGTTGTGAATATCAAATATTAATTACCTTACAAATGTTTTTGAGTAGCTGTACATGACTTTGGCACCTGGCCAGACTGGCAATGGTGAAATCAGAGGATTGCCTCCTGGCAGCCAAATTTATTTATCCCCCTTCCCCTTCCCAGCATCACACTGAAAATAAGAGGGGAACTATTTGAAAACAGTTGACATGTGGGGGAAGATGTTCATTGGCTCCTGGGATTTGGATCAGTCCCTGAGCTGGTGCCTGAAGAGTGGATTTAACCCATGCTATAATCTTCTGGCACCTGTTACAGTTTTTGGCAGTGGCACAGGACAGCTTTGATTGCACTGAGACTGGAGTTGTGAACATATGCCTAATGCTCATCCCAGAAAGAACGACTTAATGCCCTTAATGCCTTTCCTATTGTTTTCTTTTCCACTTTCTCTTCTCTTATTCACCAAGTTGATGTTAATAATTATCATTACATGCAGGCAAGCACCCACCAGCACCTTCAAACAAATCAAGGATGAAGCAGGAGGCAAACAGGAGCAGGGAGAGTTCTGTCTTATCAGAATCCAGCTACTTTCTGCCTTTGATTTTCAGTTGTTTGTCTGGCTCTGAATCTTTAAGAAGTATTGTATTAAGGACTCCAGGAAAAATTATACATATGCCAGTGTCTGAGATGTAATCAGAAAAAGAGTATTTGGTTTTCTAAACATGTTAATTGAAATAACCAAGTATGTGTCTTCAGGAAGAGAATTCAGAGGACCCATGAAAGGAAGTCTCTGCCTCTGTATCTCTGTACTGATTGTACATCTGTAAATGGCTGTCATCCAGCAAAGCTCTTAAGTGCATGCTTAGCTCCAGCACAGCTTGGCTGCAGCAATGTTGCTAGCTTTGGCATGTTTGGGGCATTCACATGACTGGTGAGAGGCACATGCTCATGTGCCCTTCTGGATAACCAACTCTTCCTTGTATCCGACAGGCCTGTGGCCATGAGCGTGGCTCCGGTGTCCCGTAGGAGGTATTGAAGATGCCAGTAGGGATGCACTTCATCTGCAGCTCCATAGTTTTTATCCTTCTCTTGGACATCACTGGAATACAGAGGCACAGAGTGCTGAAAAATGGTCTGAAGCCTACCAGCAACACGTGTAACTTTACCTTGCCTGGTGCCTGTGCAGAATTTAGTAGTGTTTGTTTAAAGTGACTCCATACAAATTTGTGGCAAAGACTGAGAGCACAGAGGAAAAACATCACACTCAGATATCAAGAAGTTGATTAAAATCCACACTGCTGCATCACAGTTGTGGGTGTTTGTACAGAGGGATAGCTCAAGTGGTGCGTGTGTTAAAATTCATCACCATGTTTGGTGCCTCGTGAAAAGTCAATCTTGAGATCTGGGTGATTGATTAGGGTTGAAGAGAAAGTTCTTGTATACTTATGGTGGTTCTTAGAATTACAATATGGCTTGTTTATCTAGGGAGCCAACAGAAGACCTTGGGCTTCTTATCTTCCCACAGATAAATACTAGTAAAGGCTCTTGCATTATAATAAATACAGATGATTTAATTAAATATAATCCAACCACTCACTGAGTACCTCTGAGTACATCTCATTAAGTACCTCTGTCAAGATACCTGATTTAGGGGAAAAAATTTAAAGGGATAGGAAAAATTCCATCAGTAACAAACAATTGTACCCATAAAGTGCAACTCATACAGTAAAGTCCAAGCAAGCAAACTCAGTGAAATATTCTTGTGTCTGCAGTTCATAGTCCACTCAGATATTTTCCAGACTATCATCTGCATCAGAAATTTGCTCCAGTAGCTTCTTGGTATGCCTGAGGTGGAATTCCAAAAGAGGAATAGCTGGCAAGTTGTGTTTTGTTTTTACCTTCACCAAAGCCTGTTTGAATTACAGGGATCATAGTGCATTTCTGGTTGTTGAAACCTGCACTCATTTATTTTAAGAAAATTCATTTCTTGGGGATCAAAAGAAAAAAAAAAAACAGATGGGGACAAGCTATCCTGTTGTGGGAAAGTTCTTATCTGGTTCATTGCAACAATTGAAGATGGCTTTTTAAATAGTCTAAAGAAGTTCACTTATGACTAAGACCTAAATTTCTTGGGGGAAAGAAAAAAAAAAAAAAAAAAAGCAAATATGAGAAATATTTTACAATATCTTTGTCCAGCTTGTTGCCCCTGGAGGAGGAAGTGAGACATTGAGAAAGCAGCACATGTGACAGATGCTGCTCAAGATGCTCAGCACATTACTTAAAGATGCTCTGTGACCATCATGTTGTGAGTACTAAAAGAATGTGACTGGGATGGAACAGTCCACATTTACTGTAACCACATCTGTAGCCTCACCACTCTCACATGATGGCAAACAAATTCCTGCCAGTTCTTGGAGTATTCCTAAACACATCTGGGCAGTGCAAAGCAGCACTGGGTTGGGGAGCCCTCCAGTTACCTCCAAGTGAGCTGGCACGTCTCTAGCAGTTTGCCACACAGGGACAGCAGCGTCAATGCCAGAAACAGTAAAGCTCTGTTACTGCCATACATAGTTAATTAGCTCGGGTGTCACAGCGAGCAAACATGGCTATATTGCTCCTGGTTCTGCAGCAAAGTTAATTGAGACTGGCTTGGGGATCTTTGCCCCAGTGTGTGGTGCAGACATACCCAGAAATGCACTCCTATTGTTGACTGAATACTGTATTTTCACATAAATGTGGCAGGAATATAATTGCAGGGTGGAAAGAGAAGGCCAATATACATTCAATTCACTTTAGAAACCAAATTAAACCTTTGACTTAACTCACTTCTATACCAGCTCCCTGCAGGCATTTCTACAGGCTTCATTAGAGCCAACCAGAGGCCATGGAAAAGGTCTTACAAAAGACTAGCCAGGAAGCCAGTCACAGACCCCGATCCTGCTGCTACAGAACACAATCTGCCTCTTGGCACCTCAGGCTTGCAGCTGCCAGGCAGTCTCCTTATGTGGTCACTGGTGTTGGCTCGGAGGCTGGGGCAGATAGATGAGGAGGGCTGAAGGGGAAACACATTCATCACTGCCAGCAGCGAGTGGAGGCAGTGCCAAGTCACTATGTAACCAGGCACATGCGCCAATTTGCTCAGTAATTGGATTGCTATTTGAGAAATTAAAGTGGTGTCTAGAAAATTCTAACCTCTGCATTTATGAAGTATGAAGTTTGTGACTGAGAGGCTGAACAGGGAGAGTGGAGGGGATCAAGCAGAGGTGTTTAGGGAGAGCAAATGTAGGAACTAATGTGATTACCTTCCTAAGTGTTACAGCACCTTCAGAAGCAGCCTGTCAGTACCAGAGAGACAAAGAGCAAGATACAGTGCAGTGGAAAGCTATGACATTATGGACAAGCTGTAACCCATTGCTGACTATGGAAAATCAGTGAAGACTTGTCAGCTGAAAGCCATTTTTATAAAGAAAACATCATTGGAAGGCAAGGCTTGATATGATTCTGTAAATAATTTTTCCCTAGAAAGAAAAAAAGGGGATTATTTTATATTTTCAGTGTTTTCTCAGAGCCTGTAAATTGTTGCTTCTGTCTACTGTATACATTACTCTCAAATACATTTGGTGAACAAATTCCATTAATCATAAATGATACTGTATTATTCAGCTACAGGGAGAATTTGTGATTCGGTAATATGCTTCTGCCACGAATTATTTCTGCTCTCATTGCACTCAAATTCAGACTTTGCTTTGACTCCAACAGAAGCACAATTACATCCAAAAATATAGTTACACAAGTAGTCCTTCAGGCATTTCAGTATTCTTTGTAGTTGAGCTCAGTGGTCACCCTTATTCAGCTGAAAACTTTGAGCATATGGGATGATAGATTATAAATTGTTCCTAAGATAATATTTGTAGTTTTAAGTTTAGTCCAGGTGCTAGTAAGTGTATAAAAGTGGTGCCAGTATTCTTCATCACTGTTAAGTGGAAACTCAAGCTGGAAGCTCTGTATTTAAAATAAAAAAAAAGTAAAAATCTATGGACTCATACTGAGGAAGAGCTATTTGGAACCTCTGTGAAATGTCTGATTATTTCTCATGCACTCAGACCTGGTAGAATGAGGTTAACACATGTCAGAGTGAAGGCTAAGGAAATTTTGAGTCACACTTCTGCCCCTAGATGGAGTATTCTGCACACTGGGTTGGTTTTTTTATATATATTTTGGGAGAATGGAGCTGTGTTAGAAGACTTGAAATGCCTCTTGTTCTGAGTTCCCTTTACAGTGTATCAAGTGCTGCCTGTTAGGGCTAGACTAACTGAGTCCCAGAGACCATTTAGAAGAGAAAAATCAAAATGAGGTTTGTTTGTATAATTAATTGAACACTATAAAGGCCACTGCACTTTCTTAGCTTCTCCTATTTGTTGGTGATAGATATGTGTGTTAAAAGGCAAGAAGCCTATGCTTTACAAAGTGTCACTAATTACTATGAAACATCTGATATTTGCAGCCTGCAATGCTGGATGTTTCTGTGATTTTCATGGTATTGCCTTCTATGAGTATGCTGTGAATGCCATGGTAACCTTAGCTGCTTGTAAAACATTTTAATAGTGACCACTGTAATATAGTGGTTGTGTGCAAACAGCATGCACCACTGCTTCAGAGGTGTTTGGAACACTTTGTTTTGGTCACAATTGGAGTAAAGTGTTGCCAGACTTCAAGAACTGAATCCTAAACTTGCCAAACAGGGAGCTGGAAGTAAGGTCTTCTGTTCTCCAACTCCTGTCTTTGATCATCTCTGGAGTTTCATTGATATGTTCCTGCCCAGCACTCACATGCTTAGTGAACCATGGCTCCAGAAACTCAGAGTTGCTTGGGAAAAGCACTTGGCTGCAGGCACTGGATTTGAAGGGGGTGGGTGTCAGATTAGAAGCCAGCTTTTGAAAAACCTTGCTGGTTTTGCGTGTGTGAGTGAGAATTCAGCTGCGGTCTCCTAGCTCAGGTATGTTCTCATGTGGGCTTCTGGTTTAGCCCACTCTTAACAGGAGGGACCAGCTGTAAAGTTTGTCCCTGAGAGCTGAATTCCTGCAGAATCCGGGATTTTCGTTTGGACCTTTTTAGATATGATGTAAATGCCAGCAGCTTCCTAACAACTGTTCTTGAAGCTCAGAGCAGAATTTAGAGCAGACCCTTGTGAGTTAGGGAATTGCATAAGATATCCCTTCTCAGAAGGGAAAGAAAAGGCCCAACAAAACCTTAGCCATCTGACTGGAGTCCTGAGAAATGCTTTCCAGCTTTCAAAGAAAGAAAGGGTCTTAATTCAGATTTGCCAGAATTGTCTAATTAGTCCCTTTAATGCCATGCACCTTATAGTCTGTGCCACCAGACTCGTCCTATAAATGAGATGATGGGCTAATTCATCTTGGCATCAGTGAACAGACCTTATGATTGTCCTCCTTACAAACACCGGCCTGATTTTAGGAAAGCGCTTTGACCAAGCCTGTGTCCCTGCTCCCTCCTCCGCGACGGCCCCTCTTTTTCTGAGCGCTGCCTGTGCTTCTTGCCCTCCTTCTTCCCCAGCACCCCAGCCCAGCCCTTCTCACACACAGTGACATACCTCACACATTTGCCACTAACAACAACCTGTCAACTCTTTCTCTGCACCGTGCTAGGCGCCTTTTGTTTCTGCAGCCCAGCAAGCCTTGCAGCTGTTGTCCGAGGCCTGCTCCGACAGCCTGTGATCAGTCAGCTGCAAAATCCTCCCTGAACAACTCGGTATTCACAGCTCTAATCGGGCCAGCGGACTGTTTCCTTCTCTCTCGCAGTAAATCTTTATCACTTGCGCCCTGCTCGTCAGTTCGTGGCGCCAGCTTTTTGGGCTGGCTGCTCGATCCTTTTCCCATACTTTGCTGGGCTGTGTGCTCTGAATGCTAACTCCAGCCTTGTTTAGACTCCGGGCTGCCTCGGTGCTGCAATCCACATGTTGGGAAGGTCCGAATTCCAGCTCCCTCCACCTCTCGGTTTTTAAGCTGGATGTGCATTAGGTTTGTGTCACCCCAAAGGTGAAGCTATCAAAGGCTCCCTCCCTCCTTCCCCTCCCTTGGCCCGTTACATACTTTGTCCATTTAAGTTAGTTATGTGATTATCTCTCTGTTTCCTCCCAGCAGACTGTCGTGCTTCTATTTAAGAGCTGTGTTTGGGGAGGAGATGAGGGTGAGATGCCCAGCCTGGGGAAGCTGCTGATGGCAAGGGAAAGCCTGGGGGAACTGGCACAAACCCTAATTTGATTGCATGCCCAGGGCTATTAACCCTCCTCCTAATGGTCCCCCCACAGAGGAGTCGGAAACACGTTTCCCCCCATCCTGTTCCTGACTTGATGCCCTCACAGTCTTTTAAAATATTTACATCAAAGATACTGAATTGTGAAGCAGATTTCTAGGAAGAAAAAGAGGATCAGAGTTTGCTTCCTCAGTATCCTCAGTTGAGCTGAGTAGAGTCCTTGGAGAGTTTAGGGTGGGGTGGAGGTTTCTGTCAACGTGGAGTTCCTGAAGATTTATTCTGCTGGAGCTGAAAGCACAACTTTATCTGTGCCTGTTAGCTCTTAGGATACAGTGTGTAAACTCCTTCTGCCTCCTTTGGGAAAACATTGTGGGTTTTATTTCCCTGTGTTTGGGCCTGGGATTGTAGATGACAGTCTAGTTAAACCTCAATTAAACAGCACATTTTGCAAGGAGATTCAGCTAGCTCTCAGGTAAAGCTTGCTGGAGACCACTTTTTAAAAATATAAATTATTCAGGAAAGTTATTTCAGTTTATAAGGAACCTGGGAAACTTTTGTCTGACCATTTGCATGAGGGACAAAAAATGATGAAATTTAATCTTCTCTCTGAAACTGAATTCATCTTTGGCACTGGAAAACTGATTTCTCTTTCTTCATCGGTTTTCCCCACCTTTAAGCCTTTGTTTTAGCTGTTCCAGGTGTGTGCATGTGCACGTGTATGCAGGGGTGAAAATAAACCCAATACAGAAAGTCCTTCAAGAATACAACATGAACTGGCTTTAAAAATGTTGTTTCTTTTAGCTTTATGAGGCAGCTGTAAAGTAGATGCCCCTTGGAAAATCTGGGTTCATTTCTGTTCAGACTTTCCATGCCTCAGTTTCTCATCAGTACAGTATTTGCTTGGTCAAAGATAAGCACGTGGTTATGATAGTCTTACAGTTTTGGCATTGGTGGTCAATTTGAGTCTGTAGGGAGGTGCCATCCTGGTACGACTCTGTTGGCTTCCACTGATGCTTCCAGGTGGGACATGTTTTGTCTCTGTGTAAACAAACAGACCTGTAAACCCCCTTTACGCTTCATTTGGGAAAATGGCACCAATTTTACTGGATTTTACAGATTTTGCCACCAAAGTGCCCTTCTGAGTGTGTTCTCTAGCGAAACTGAATGTGTGTGAACAGGATCTGAATATTGGCTCTTTTTCTGTAGGTTGTCCCCAAGGGCAGCAGTAGAAATACCATCTTCAATAGTATGGAGCATCCTACAAATAAGCTGATTGTACCAGTTCATAGAATGGAATCATAAAGTAGCTTGCAAGGGACTTTTGAAGCCACTTTTTTTTTTTATTGAGTGGGAAGCTACTGGACATAGTTATTTTGTGATATGATTGACTTCTATTTTTTGGAACACTGGTGCTTCACCATGCTTGGGGAGAGTGGGATGGGCAATCCACCTGCTGTCCCCTGCACAAAAACCAGTTGATTTTAAATAGTTCTGAAAGAACTTGATATCCTTTAAACATCCTTGTATATCCTAATTTTTAATTTATTTGTTTACTTTTCAGAAAACTCATTGGTAGCTAGAATTTACATGTTGCCTGATAAGGTAGAAGGAAATATTTTGGCTTTAAACTACAATGGAAGATTCTGGGAGTCTGAATTGAAAGGGAATGGAACAAAGAGAGAAGACTTTCTCAAAATTATTTTTTTTTTTTTAATGAAAGCAACTCAAAGCACAAAATACAAACATTGTTTTGAGTCTCTTCATGCATAAGTAAGCAAGGATGTACACAGCTTGTCTCAACTTTCTATAGCAGGTTGCCACTGTCCACATGTCCTGGTTCTCCTCACCTACTGATGTTTGTGCCCTGAAGTGAGGAATTTTTTTGAAGGATGCAGCTGGTGCTCACCTTGGTATTGTTGTAAGTCTGTGGTGGTTAGTGATGTGGGCTTAGAATGGTTGATTGGGAAAATGTCTGGAAGCTGTGACATGAAGTTTTTATTTGTTCTTTTCCTTGCTTTGTACCACAGGGGAAGACTCACAGGAGGCAAATATTCCTAATGGGGGAATGTATTGCTGTTTTGAGAGGTAAGTTCAATCCTCATTTTTACCCAGACCACAGTGAAGGCTCTGTACCTTTTTCTGTTGGGTGGCTGCTAGAAGAGGGCTCATTCATGGCTCTGGGATGAACAGGAATTTGAGAACAGCTTGTCCGTTCCCTGTTCCAGATTGAAACTGGACTTGACTCACTTTTCCTAATGCATCTGGATGCATATATTGGAACAGGATATTTTATCGCTCTGCTTCTTTATTTTTAAGGAGTAATGTCAACTGATTTTTCCTAGCTCCTCCCATAGCTGTCTTCTAAGAAAATCTCAGATGCCAACAACTTTCTGTTTGATTTTTTTTTTACAGAGTTGTTGATAGTATGCTTGCACAGTAATTCCATTTGAAAATAGTCTTTTAGACTAGGAATTTTCTTGTCTGATTTGCCTCAGACTTTCCAGAAAAATTCTACCTTGACATAAAGTTCGCACCTGTGGAAGTTCAAGTAAATCTCTTTAGCATTTGCTTTGTGAGGGAGGGATTCTGCCAAAATTGAGTTTCTGATGAAAGACTAGTGTAAGCATGGATAGACTGCTTCCTTCATTACTAGGTAATATTAATGTATAATCAGTCTCATCAAGAAAAAATATGACTGAATGGATTTTATATTCCTTATGAAAATGATTTTTTTTGTTTCTTCTTTGGCTACTCAGGGTAAAATATTTACAACTAACCTACCATGTTTAATTTTGTGAGTCACTTTTAGTGTGCATATTTCCTGAACATCTTGAACAAAACCATGCAAAAGATGAGCAGGGAATAAAGGGGGAAATTATGAATGGAAGGAACCATGTGACTGCCTCCTCTACAGATATTTTTTTACCCCCTTACTTGAGAAGTTAAGAGGGAATGCAGGGCCATGCAGTGTTTGTTAAAGCTGATGGAATATCTTTCTCCCTCTGGGTATCTCTTTAATCAATGTTTCTTTATACCATTAGGCCATTTCCTCCTTTTTCATGGCTTCTTTTTTTTTTTTTTAATTCTGAAGAAGCCTTTATTGTACATTTCTGTACATCTTGACATTTATTCTAAGAATTATGGCCTGATCCCTTCCTCTCTTTTCCTCAAAATTTCTGTCATTTATCTATTTTAAGTGCCAGAGCACAAAGATAACCCCATCATAGTTCTCTCATTTTCCCCAGCAGTCCCCCCCCCCTCCCTCCATGCAATGAAAGCTCTCATGGTCTCACAGATTTTCTTTATGCTTATTTTGGCCTACTTGCAACCCAAATACATCATCATGCTATAAGACAGCTCTCTAAGGCTCTAGGATCAATTAAAGGTAGCCCTATTCATTGCCAGTACAAACCTTTGCCTATTAACTCTTTCAAAGGCCATTTGTCATCACAAAAAGCTGTGGATGCCGTCTGGGTAAAAAAGGTATTGTTTAAAGGCTGCTGATTAAAAAAAGGTATTGTTTTAAGGCTTCTGAATATCTTAATTAGTTGTAATCAGAGGGGAGCTTGTGTCTGTAAAGTGATACAGTTACCTTTCACCTACTTGCTTTATTTTCTGAGATTTTTTTTTTTTTTTTTTTTTTTAATCTCAGATATACCTCAAGCATGCTGTTTTCAGGGTACAAGAGGAGTGCACTTGTTGATCATGCTGTAACTTATGACATTATTTTGTAAAGCCAAATATTTGTTGTGGTAACCCAGAATGCATCTCCTTGGCCTTCAATCAGTCAAGAGCAAGTCAGTGGAGAAACATTGCTCCTTGCCAGCAGCCATCCTGCTTCCCTTCTCTCAGAAATCCTGTGTCTGTATCCTGGAAATGCAGAAATCTACCCCAAATCTTCAAGCACTTGCACATGTGCTCAGATCAAGCCCATGGACCATCCATTAGTGCAGAGTGTACACAGCCCTGTTTGGCAGGTCAAGGTAAAACAAGGTAACATTTTTTAGACCAGTAGTTCATTTGTCACAACTGTCGTCTCAAATGACTTGAAACAATTTATTAACATGGTCAAAATCGCTGGGAAAATGTCCATTTCTGCTGCTCCCTGAATCAAAACTTTTCTTGCAGTAGTTAATCATAAAAATCTGGTTTTTATTCAAGGAGACCCTTTTGAAAATGAAAATCAGCACTTTTCCTTGGTATTCATGCAAAGTTTTGTTTGTGCTTATTGCTTTCTTGGTTTATTTTTTCTGAGCAAACAACATAGTTAATATTTAATTGAAAATATTTTTTGCAAATCAAACATTTGTTTTAATGTGCATTTAATGGAGGCATTAAGATACACACAGAACCCTTCCAGTCATATGTCTTGATGGCACAGCAATGGCTTTCATCATCTGACCCTCACTCTCTGGAGGTGCAATTCCAGAGAAGAGGATTTGGGAATATATGCTTTTCTTTCCATATTTTGCAAATATATTCTTCCATGGAGGAGGAAACACTTGATAAAAACGTAAGTGTAAGTTACATGTGTTTTTGTGCTTTAATAAAATACTGGATACAGTGGTTATAATAAATAGTATTTGTTTCATCATGGGAAGAGGAGGGGACGCAATTACGAGGGACTTCCCCTTTTCTGGGACAAAAATTCTTTAGAAAATACCTGGTATACCAACCATGGATATGAAATGGCTCATACAGTTTGGTCATTTGGAAAGCAGGGCAGTGCTATGGCTGGGAACCACCAGCCAAATGAATCCCCAACACTCACACTTAGCTGGTAGTTTGCTTGATGAATTTTGTTACAGGAAATGCCTGCATACACAGATTCTCAGGGAAATATGGCAGAGTCATGTAAATACTAGTGGTATTGTCCTCAGTCTCTTATTTTCCAATGAATAAGTGTACTGGGCAATGTATGGCCTGAAGTGAGAATATGATTACGATTTATCTAATTTTTTCAGAAGCCAAGATGGTACATGCATTTCTATCACAGGAAGATTTTTCTCTATCTGTCTAGATCCTGCATGAAGTACTTCTTGTGAGTATTTTATCTCCTTTTTAAATTTTTTTTGTTACAAAAATGCTTCAAAAATTTAGTTCTGTTTCCAAATTACTGTAAAGTAAGAGCCTAATATAATCTCCATTTCACAGATGAGGAAAACCAGCCTGAAAAATATTAAAATTACAATTCAAGGAGAGGCAGAAGCTTAAGCACATCTTTTAATGTTCCTGCAATTTTGGCATAAGCTGTTATGAAGAGTTTCTCTGGGATGCTGTTAGAGGTGAAAACAGCAAATGCTCTGAGTTGCAGACAGTACCTCAGCCACAGTACTGCAAATTTTCCTTCTTATACTTGATAAAAAACATGATGCAATGGAATTGTTGTAGAGAGTTTATTTTTGTAGTTAGTTATTCAATATATACACTATGGTATTGAACCTCATTTTAGCATGGAGGTCAATGAAGTTCTAACCTTTTCCTTCAGCTTTGTAGATTTTCACAGAAGTGTGTAGCATCTTTTCTTTGGTCAGGTGCCTCGGAAATAAAGTCAGAGAAATAAATCTGCATAATTCTCCCGTGGCTGTGATAAGCATATGCATTCCTATAGAATGGCATTGTGTGTCATGCTCTATGTAACATTTTTAGGTGTCTGTAGAAGTAGGACATTTATGAAGTGTGACTCATTTTTCCTTCTCCACACTGTTCCAGTGGAAGAGCTCAGACTGCGATGAGAAAAAGTAGTACACATTATTAAGAATTCTGATAAAGTAGGCTGAATAAATTTGTTTTCTTTGTGAGCCTTAATCCTGTGTTGTATTGGCTTCTTGGACATGGCTAATTTATTTGGAATTCCATTCTGTTCCCGACAGCATTCCTGATTAGCAGTTTGATCACCCGGAGCAAAGTTACATACCAGCTTTCAACTCTTGTAATCTAGCAGTGTAATTTTTTCAAATGGACTCTTTTCTTTCCTTCTTTGCCCCAGCTCCCCTTCTTTTTGTGTGCAAAGAGACTTTGAAAGTAAGCAGGATAACCTGTTAGTAGAACGAAAAACTTCTTCAAAGCACAATGTAGTTTGCTGAAAGCCCGACTTTCATTTTTGAATAGAAAAAATGAGGTTTGGAGCAGTGTCAGTACAGCATGTGAAATGTTTGCCTTCCATCACTTATAAAGGGTAACAGTTCTTTTCAATAACTGCATTTTATGAGTGGGGTGATATAATCTTAAAGTCGTTTCCAAGGTCTGTAGTTTGCCAAAGCACATTTTGCTTATGGTTAGTTTCAGAAAGTTTGAATTTTTCTTTAGTTGTTAAGTTTGTCACATGGTGGACCTTGTAGGAAAATGGCAGCTGTGTAATTGTTTGCTTCTATCTGTATTGGCTTGTGCAGTCAAAACAAAGGATGACCAGGACACCCAAATTTAATTGTAAACCAGAGGCAGATTTGGGTCTGAGCTCTTTTTGGTATAGCACAGGCAGAGTGTAATCCAAATGATCTGGTCTGCCAAAGATATGGAGTTGCAGATGAGAGGGAAGTGAGTTTTCCATACTGTGACATTTCTGAAAGTCCCAGTCTGGTTTGTGCACAGTGAAAAAGAAACAAGGATCTGAAGTGAAGGGAGGCTTGGGAATAGCCCAGAGACAGGTGACCACAGCACTCCTCAAAAGGCTCAAACTGTGGTTTTATGCATGAGTGCCTCGACTGCATAATGATTGAAGACTGTGATCTGTCTGATTTTTACTGATCTTGAATTGTAGGACTCTGAAAAGCAGCTCTTGGCAAATACTTTGTCGAAACTGAAGCATGTTATGCCAGTTTACTGTGTTTGAAAAAGTGGCATTTTGTTGAAACGTTGTTTTGTCAAAAAGGGTATTCATTAAATTCTCTGCTGTATTGATGTGAATTCTATTAATTCAGTGGGGAAAAAAAAATCTACTGATGGAGGGAGAGCACCTGGAAAGGTTGGTTTAGGGCTAGATCATTTTGCCTGGTCAAATTTGGTGATAATTCCTTAATTTCCTCAGCAAAAAGCCCTGAAGTTCTTTCTATCTCAAAAATTAGGCATCTAGCTGAGTGTGAAAACTTAGCAAAATTGTGTATGGTTTCTCTGATCACTAAAGAGATAATAATTACTTGATAACAAGCTGCTCTGAACTTTATAAGGTAAATCTTAAATATGTATCTGTTTTTTTCTGTTAAGTCACAAAGTACGTTTGTATTTTTATATTTGTTCACAATTACGTGGACATTTTGGGCATTGCTAATCTTTTAATTAGTTGGTGCCATTAAGTATTATGGCCTGTATGTGATCTATTCTGCTACTGCTGGGTCATGTTCTGATCACATTCCTAGTACAAAATTCCCATAAATGAAAGGGAGCCAAGATGTGTCCTACTGACCATTGCCCCATCCAGCAGCACATGGAGGTGGTCATGGAATGAAGCAGAGGTCTCATCAAGTCTTTTTGGAAATACAGATGTCTTTGTGTAATCACTTTTAATACTGATTTATAAAGTTTTGTTTAATATCATCCTAGTCCTTTCCCTTCACTTTTATTGCTGTTTCCTGCAATTTGTGCTCTTTTGTTGCATTTAAATCTCGCTTTTGACACCATTGAGGATGGGGTTTTACTAATACTTCTGATTTTATGGAGGCTGAAGTTAGTCTTAAGGGATGAAATATGTAATAAATGAAGTATCTTCTGTCTGTTCTTGTTGTTCTTGATCATGGAAATGGGCATACTGAGCTGATTGCAGTGGGGGAGGAGTGTTCTTGCTGGGGATTTTCCAGGAGAAAACCCGTGGGGCAGGTGTTGACTTTGCTTTGACTCAATGGAGGATTTAATGATCTTGATATGTGCACATTATCACAACTTAGGTGGAGCAGTAATTGACTCTGAATGTCAGATTTTGTCCTCTAAAGCAGTGACTTCTTGATATGACTCTTTTAAAGTGGTATTTTGTTTTCAGTGTGATGTAGAATGCTTGCTCAGGAGATTCCACATATGTAACCTGGAGCAAGGTGCCTTTTTGACTCTGATAATTGTAGAAGGAATGTGATTCTGACAGATAAGTGCTTGTCTTGATTTTTTTCCTTTTCTTTTTTAACAAAGAACTCAGAACTTCTTATTAGTCTTGCCAACACCTGCAACTCTTTGCAGCTTCCTTTGGTAGATATCCTGACTTTTGAATGTGTGGAAAATGCAGTAAGTAAAATATCCTAATTTAATTCTAATTTACTTATTTAATTCTAATTTACTTTATTTTTAAATTCTAATTTACTTATATTTTTGGATATATTTCAAAGTTATGATAACAGTGGGCATTTTAGGATTATTGTTGTATTGTCTGCTTTGCTGCTTATAAGCTTACTTGATATTTTAAAATTTTGGGAATGTAGTGATATTTTAGGAGATTGCTTTATAAGAGAATTGAAAAATGAGATGAAATCTGCAAAATCTGTTGCCTTACATTTTAAAAGTCAACAAGACTGCGTAATATGTACTTTTCCCCCCCAAACTACCCTTCAATGGGCATTTACCAGGACAATTAATTATGTGACAATTTAAAAGCAAAATATGAACTTTGTCCTGGAAATAGTTTCACATTAGAGGATTTTAATAAATATTTCTAGCAGAATAGGGTAGTAATATTGGTTGTGTGATGAAAACATATGTTAGTAATAAAATATTACCCGTCAGAAATACTGTTCTATCATGTCATTGTTCCCTAGAGAGATGACTAGTTGAACAATGATTTTAACAAAATAAACTCTGAACAGAAAGGATGTTTTTATGGGTGATACAGCACACATTCTTCAAAAAAGGCACATCATTAAAAATGGTGCCAGACCCTAGGAACATCTCTTGTGTGAAAAAGTAAGTTTGGGAAAATCCCAATAATAATGCTCAATGTATAGATTTTACATAGTGCTTTTCCTCACTTGTTGTCAAAATACTTTGCAAAGAGGGGAAGAACAGCTACCCATGTTAAACTGCATTTTCTAAAACTCAGCCACACCACTTTTAATTTGGCATTTAAATTCACCTTGCTCAAGCCATGCCATTAATTTTCTTTGGAAGAAAATCTTCCCAAGGAGTGAAATCCAAGCAGAAAAGCACTGTCCTTCCATTTTGGGCAGCATTTTTGCATGTGAATACAAGCAGGGTGCCAGGCTGCCAGCCATGGTATGTGGAGCCAGGGAGCTGCCATGAGACGCTGTCCTGGCTTTGTGTCAGTCTGTCCCGGGCACATCCCAGTGCCAGGCACCAGGGATGTGCTGCCTCTGTTCCAGCCCTGACACCTCACAGGGACCACTGGAGCCACCAGAGTCGAGAGCCGCTTGCGAGTCCAGGCAGGAGGAGGCGCCTGTTCCCTTGGCACTGGAATGAACCCCCAGTTCACCCCTGAAGTGTGCCCTTAAGTAGCCACCGGGCTTCTCAGCACTACCAGAGTGAGCTGGAGCTGGTGGCCAAGGCATGGGATGTGCTGGATTACAGCTAATGCTGATATCGGTGGTTTCCAGCAACGCTGCTGGAGCACAGACAGCTGCATTGCACCATGCTGGAGAAAGAGGGTTGTTACAAAAGAGGCACTTTCCTTGCAGCCATACAGATACTGCATCTCTAAAAAATTTAAGATATTGTCACCTCAGCCAATAATTAATTGTACAACTACAAAATGAGCCAGTTGCCCAAGTGAGTGCATACTGTGGAGTCCCTGTCTTGCAGGGGTTGTGTTGCAGCAGATAGAGTTCTGAACACTTTGTCAGACTGTTTTTCCTGCTGCAATCCCTTTCAGATGAGATGATGATTTCCTTTCTTCACATCTGTGTGGGTGTAGACCTCTTAAAAGAAAATAACAGGTTAGTGAAACAGCTGTCAGGAATGATGTAATTGATTTTGCTTTAGGGCAAGCTGGTAGACCTTTTGGGCCCCTTTTATCCTTTTTCCTGTAGCTGTAGGTGACCCTAGGAACATATACATGTGTATTTATTTGTTCTCCGCAGCCTTCTGCATTTTTTCAGCAAAGTCTTTGCTAGTTGAAAGGAGCAGTCCCTTTAAACTCAGCAGCTTTTGGAATCTGTAGGTATAAAAAGACATTGTTTGGTGTGCCTCCTCAAAGATTCCTCCTTAATCCTGATTTTGTGTACTCATCCCTTGGTTGAGCCTTTCTGTCCAGAGGAATTTGAGTTGATTCCCATTCCTTCACAATTGCACGCAGGGCAATATGTCAGACTTTCTTGCCTTTTGAGCAATCTGATCAGTTCTGACACTTTCCACCTCCATTAAGGAATCTATGTGGTAGTTGAGAACACCCATTAGTGTGAACAAACTCCTGAAACCCCTGAAAGTATTTGCTTTGCTCTGCCATTTAACTGTTCACAAAGCCCAGAGCTTTGCTTCTGATACACATTCAATAAAAAGGAACAGAGTATTTTTTTTTTGTAAATGTGGTTCTGTTGGCTGTGTAGTAGGCAACATGCTGACTTTCATGCGGTTTCCCAAATCAAGGACAAATTTGACCAGAAAGTGATATTTTGAGAGGATACCGGCAGTCAGTATTTTGGTATGACATTTGGTTTAATGCAGAAGTTTTAAAAATCAAAGAAGCAGCTCTGACACAGGGCTATTGCTTGAACCATATCCAAGTCATTTCACTTACTGCTGATCCTTCCCAATTTTGCCTTCATAACTCCACATTTCCAGGCCCAGGTAAGGAAGTGCTTAAATATCAATAACAGTTCCTTATTTTCTTCTGAACTGGGTCCTGGAGTTTGTGCTAGTTCTAATGGGGATTTGGCATGTCCAAGGACCTCAAGGTATTACTGTACCCTGAATTTAAGGGAAGAAGAATGTAGAAATCCCAAAGCCTTATGTCTCTGGATCAGGCTTTAATTTCTTTTTAGACAGAAAATGCAGGAAAGGAACTTGCTAGTTAGTAAGTCTGAAAAGATCTTAACAGTTCCAGTAATTACTCATTTCATCAATCCATCTATATTTAAAGTGAGCTAAACTGAGTTCTTTCCTATAGTGTCTACTTCAAATAATGCTGCTTTACATTTGGAGAGCCAAATAAGGAAACAGCGTAATCTTACAGGAGTTTCATTCCCTTTCAGTTTGCACGGCTCAGACTTGCTGTAACAAGAGCACTTCTTTCTATGAAACCTTTTTAATATATTGGACTAAACAAACTATCTCCTAAAAAAAGTAGGAGCATTTTTTTTTGTGTTTATGTGTGTGTGCTTTGCTCTAGCCTTGGCTGTTGAGGACATTTCTGCATTTGTCGATGTACTAAATGAGCGATTCATTTTGAACAGCTTCAGTGTTCTGATTTGTTTTTGTGCTTTTTTTGTCTCCCCCTCTTCCCGCTCCCCTTCTTTCCCTTTTCATTTGTCTAGGGAAAAAAAAAAGCTCCTCCAGCATTGTTTCCTGCAAAGACCATTCTTAAGAGCTCGTTGGACAGTGCAGGACTCTTAAAGTGATAGCTAATTGAAAGAAAGGCCCTGATTGTCTTGAGGGAGCTGGAAAGTGCTGCGTGTGCTGCTGAAAGGGACTAGGGAGAAGGTGCCTAGTTTCGCTGAGCAGCTGCTGCTGGAGATATTTGGAGATTACATCAGCATTGGAAAAGAGGGGCCAAAAAAAAAAAGTCCGACTTCACAGAGACTGAGTTTATGGAGTTTTTTTTCCAACTTCCAAAGGTCTTCTGACAATACTGTCATTGTCAATATAAGAGTTGTTAATTCTTTATGAATAGCACATGGGGCCTCTTGACTAAATAGTACGTTACATGTCCCAAATCTGTCAGCTGGACTCTTCTCTCACATGCTAGTGAGATCACTTTGATTGGAATGTTAGAGGAATTGCTGGGCTGGCCATGCAGAACTGAATACTGCATTATATAATTAGATCTCCCAGATTATATTTTTTCACATTACCTCATTATTCTAACTTAAATATGGAACCAGACCTTTTGGTGGTTTTACTTGTTGTAATTATATTAATACGATTAATTTTGTGGTCCTGTCTTAGTGCTTATATAGATTATAAACTGTCCCAAAGGTTTCCTGACACTAAGAAAGAGGACTAAGGGACTTCAAAAGGCTTGGTCAGATTTGAATTGACAATGGGGAGAGCTGGGTAAGGTAAATGGAGCTAGAGCAACTTTTACCTTGGGATCTGATGAGAGAGAAATGGCCTGTTGAGACTGCAGCTGAGTGAAGATCCTTCAGAAAGCCTCATGCTGACAGAGGGTAAGGAATGACAACCAATTGAGTCAAATGACTTTCTATCCAACTTGGGCATGAATTTGCTGTTGGGAACAGACTTGTGGACTTCTGCCAATTAAATGATGTGGACAAGCTGGAAGGAACCCTCTTGCTGGACAGTCCAAGAGTGCTCAGTGTCCACATGCCACGTTGTGGGCTGGCGGATTTTTACCTGACTGCTTGCTTTGTTACCAAATTCCTCATGGCTCTTCCCAGCCAGTCAGATCTGAAACGGAATGATTTTAGCTGACCATAACCTTCCAAATACTCACATTTCTTAACAAGTGATGTATATGAGTACCAGTACAAGGTTGATACCAGGAATAATCTGTTCCATGGAAGACAGATTTGTGTCTCAGAGATTGTCTGAGGGACTCTGGCTGTGCTTCAGCACCAACAATGGGTGGGGTGTAGAGTTGTGTTTTTTAGGTTTTATTACATTTGTATTATGTATAAGTTTGTTCCATGTACCCCCGGTTCTGTAACGGTTCCCCCCGGGTTTTCCCGTCTTTCCCTGCGGGTCCGTTGTCCCCAAAAATGCCAAGTCATCCCCCTGTTTACCCCAGATGCCTGTCTGTCACTCAGTGTCCCTTCCCCCCCACCTGGAATCTTCCACCCGGGACGCCGGGCGATAGGCAGAGGACCTGGGACCCTTCACCTGTCCATCCTTCATTGGATGTACCCCCGTACCCCACTACCCTCAAACCCCCCGTGGCATTACCCCATTGGCTGCTCCGGTTTCCCCCCGTTCCGTACTTAGTCCGTGCGCGCGGCGTGCTCCGGGCTTTCTCCTGGCCGGCTCCAGCGCCGCCCTGCCTGTTCGCGCGGCTCCGGCAAACGCAGGTGCGGCATGCCTGGTTCCCTTCGAATTATTATTTTCCCCGTTGGATTGCAATAAACGGAATTCGACCCCCAGAGAAAGACTCTCTTCATTAAATCGCTGTGGGGTCGCTGCCTGCTCTCCGAACTCCGACAGTGCTGCCCAAAGCCCGCGAGGGTTCAGCGGGAAGCGCTGGAGATCTGCCTGCGCCCCTTCTCCCCAGAGCTAACCGGGGCAAGGGTAAGGCAGACGGGAGAAGAGCGCACTGGCAGTGGGGTGACAACACGAGTGAGTTTTGATACCAAAGCCCTGCAAGTAACCTTCATATCTAGCCTGAAACAAGCACCCTACTAGGACACTGGAAGATTTGACTACTTGCCCAAGGACAAAGGGACTTGGGATTTCTTGGTTAACTTACCTGGCAAAAGGAAGTAAATTTTTTCAAATGAATTGTCTTCTTTAAAATAGGTGTTGTATTAAGTCAAAGAATCTAAATCTTAGAGCAACTCATTGTAACACTATCTTTTAAGAATTGAGTTTTTCTAGAGTAAAGGTAGAAAAATTGTATTACCTTGCCCAAGAAATGCACTATCCTTGGCTTAGTCACTCTTTAAATCATTATTTTTTTTAAATAATCCTTTTTTTGTTTGATCATTTTCTATCTCATGTGAAAGTGAAGGTTACCACTTCATATACTGATTTCTATATCTCTTGGTAGCTCACGTGATGATATCAGAGCTCAGCTAGGTAAAAGCCCACAGTATTCCCATACAGAGTTTCTGGCCCATTCATGACTCACACACTCCTACAGGCTTGTCATTAGTAACTGCTCATCAGCCCTTGTAATTTTGTCTTTTAGAACCTCCTAAAAATCAGACATGAGAGCTTAGGCAGTGGAGCAGGGTAAATGTCAGGTCAATTGATTTCAGCCTCAGATTTTATTTATGGTGGATGTCCAATCTACAAAACAGCCTGTAATGCTTGAAGGTGCATATCATGGGCTTGAAATCCTGCCAGACAACAATCCAGCCATAAATTATATGTAGATGTAACTAACCCCTGGTTTGTTTCTCTGATTCTTAATAGTTCTGTCCTTTTTTTGTTTCCCCAACACCAGCAAACCACAAAGGGAAGATGAAATGTTGTCTACTTGATGTGCAGGCATACCTTTTATAATGAGTAACTGGAAAAATAGTGACAGTGATCCATTTTTCTTCTTTCAGTTAATCATCACTATTCTGAGCTGTTGTGTGCAAAACAAAGCTTGTGGAGAAATTGATAGTGCCTTTAAGAAATAAATATTCTAATTCTTTATTTCAGTCCTATTGAAATTGCATTTGATAATGTACTGTTTGTATGAATTGTTTAGAAGTGGGAATGTAATGAGGAGCCATACAGGTGAAGTAGTGGTTTACTGCCTTTAATGTCTGGGGATACTGGAACTGACAACAGTGTGGAATTCACAACTTTCATTTTTTTATCCCTGCAGGGCAACGCTTCAAGTTTTCCCTGTAAATCAGAGCTTGTAGTCTTGTTATGGACCATACCCAATAGACTGGATCTGTTGGTATTTATGTATCTAAATATTTGATTTGGACCTTATTTGAGTCATGTGAGTTGCACTCTGATTATAAGAGTGGTCTGGCCAAATATTATTTGGCATAATATTGCTCTATGTCCTACAATGGTAAAACTGGCTGCAACCCCAAGCAGTTTATTAAAACATCAATGTCGTGAGGCACATTTAATTTAATAATTATAAAAAATTTGACTGAAGAGTTAATTTAGATCTTGCTGCCTACTAAACTCCTTATGTGTTCAAAGCAGTTTTAATAGCAACTTGGTTAATTTCTCATTGCATTCATATAGTTGTTTCCCATCTTGCTTGGTGTGGGAAGCCATCCTATTTATCCTGCATTACAAAATTAGGACTATCACACTTTCAGGAGTGCAAAATATAAAGGAGATTGAGATCTTCCTCTTTATCCCCATAGGTCTTTTCCCTCTCTCTTTTCATGGAGATAAGAAACATCTAAGCCCTTTAAGTGTGGTATGATGTGAAAGTATCCACTGGTATTTCCTGGTATTTCCTATGGAGCAGTGTTCTAGCATTTAGATATTTAAAAGATATTTATATTCTGTTGATTTTTTTGCATTTAAGGATGTATTAAAAATAAACAAGTGCTTAATGTCAGTTTTTATCTTTGGACAGAGTGAATGAAGATTATGGGGGGAGCCCCCTTTCTAGACATGAAACAAAGGTATGTGTAAAGAAAGAGAGAAATAAAAGTGAAATACTGTGATATTAAAATCCCTGCTGATGTAAAATTATTTGTATTTTTATATACTGATTAAAATATACTGTATATAAATATATTTGTATTTTTATATACTGATTAAAATATACTGTATATAAATATATTTTTTATGTTTATATTAATTTATATAATTAATTAATATTAATGACATAAATTATTATATAATGACCAAATTACCATGTAACCTACTGAGAAGAAATCCCACTCTTTGCCTGAAGACATTATTGTGATGAACCTCTAAGATGGGGATATATATATATATATGTATGTATATATATGTATATATATGTAGATATGTATATGAATATATAGATTAAATAGAGCCTATTTACACATCTATATCAAAAATAAAACTATATAACATATGGATGCAGAACTGGTCTGTGTTTGGCCTATTATTTATTTAATTTACCTTTTTTGTGGTACCAATGGTACCAATAAAACCAAATTTACTCGCAAAATGAATAGCCATTTTCAAGTTCTACAACTGATACTTCTTTTATTTTTCTTCTTTTTTGACCAGGGATAAAACATCTTTCTGAGCTGTAAAAACTCAATTAATTGTAAATATCCCAATTATCTGCAAATGCAATTCCTATCCCACATCATGTAACGTGCAAGAAGCTGGCATTTTATGGACTGCATTATGGTATGGAGAACTAATTACAGCAAGCTCATGGTCATCTGAGCATGTAATTATATTTATTGATTAAAATAATGCCACGATTTCACTTTGCAGTGCCATTACACTGGTACCCACTTCAACAATTCCTGCCAAACCATGTAAACTGGAGTGCTGAAGAACTCCCTTAAACAGATCTGGTGATGCAACAGGTGGCCTAATTACTCTAGGTAGGTCCATTACAGCCAAATTCGGGGAGGAGAAGCTGAAGACACCAGTAGGGCTATGACTGACTCTCGAAGAGGGAATCTGGACAGCTGGGGGTCTGGTCACCAGCTGTTTGCAAGGAACTGCCACCCCATAAACTGGGGCTCAGCGGAAATCTTGAAAAATGCATTCGTGTTCTGTGTCATGGCCCTAGAGAGCGGGGAAGTGTTGTGAGGGTCTCCCTGTCAGGATTTGCGTAGGCACCAAATTGTTGGACAATTAAATGGCAGAAGAGCTGTCTTGGTTGGTTAGCAGGGACATGGAGTTACTCCAGAAATGCAGTTGGGTTATGCTTGATTGTCACCACGGCGGGTGACCTGATAGGGTGGCTGTTTCACTGCAGGCAGGTCTTGTAACAGCATCTACTGCTACGGCTGCCAGGCTCTTCCAGCCCTTAAGGCCTATTTTCAGCTTTTCACAACTTTGTCAAAGTACTTTTCAAACTAAATTTTTCCATGTTTCGTTTGGTGTCTGCCTCTGTCTGAATTCTCTTCAGAGGGCTCCAGTCAGAACAGTTTAATGTCTTCCAAAAACAAGACTAGAAAAAAATACATTGTTTTTCCCATGCTGCAAAAATATTGGATTTTTTTTTTTTTTCTGAAAAGATGTAGTTGTACCACTCTGGGAGATAATTTTTTCTCAGCCCTGTCAGGGCTCTTGTTCACATCAAGATGTAACTCTTGCTCACATCAAGATGTAACTCTTGTTCACATCAAGAAAATTATGTAGCTATCTACCACAGATTCAAGGGGTACAAGATCAGATATGATGTGGGGAAATGAGGATAAGGAAACTGACAGGGAAAAAAAAGAAATTACAGTGAGGTTTTAGCTAAAGAGGATGAGTGTAATAAGTTAATGAAAGGCAAGCTTGACTGCACCATGTAGGAGAGAGAATTGGCTCCAGGAGTGAGTGAGAGTGGAGACACGGATGAAATTAGGATGGTTTGGACTATCAGCAGACAGGACAAAAGTGGATTTGAAAATATACGGCCTACAACTTTCTATGATTCGGGAGACTAAGACTTATTTAGCAAACTGCTTTGGACTTGGAATAAAGAGTCCAAGGAACTGTCAAAGGGATAAGAACTGGATAAAACTTTTGCTGGATTACTATCCCTTTAGAATATTGGTATAAATCCTGGAACATAAGTATCATCCTTTTTTTGGCTGTTAGCAAATTTCTGGTTTTGCTGGTGGAGCATTGTATGCTGAGCATCTACTCGGCTGTATTAACAGGATGTGACAAAGTTGAGCACTGACATTAAGAAAGTAATAGAGTAAAGGATTTATATGCAATTTTTGCTCTGTTCCCTGAGTATCATGGCAGCTTCTTTTGCTCACTTGGTTGCACAGGAAGAAGGGCTCTGGGACTGAAGCTTTTGTAATTCTTTGCAAAAGGAGCAATTCTTTGAATAGCCCAGAAACAGTGATAGTCTATGAAATGCAGAGCTCTAGGACGACTCAAGTTTTGAGTGCAGTGATGAGGAAATTAATTCTTTGTTAATTAATTAATTAACAATTAATCAATTAATTAATTTAATTGAATTCTAAGTGAAAACACTTAAAGATACTTATTCTTTGCTTTGTGGCTGTTTACCTGAAGATCCTGGGCCTAATTTGCTTATTTGCTAATTTGCTATTTGCCTTTGCCAATTACCATAAACACCAGATTGTCAGTTTAACAAATAAATTAGTACCAGTTCAACAAACTAACAAGTACACTGAAAAATCAAATTCTGAAACTCTGATGTAAGATGCGTAAAATAAGTAGATTCAAAAGGAGGAATTATTCTGTAGTTTTTTTTTTATTGCAAAATGAGATAGTGTGGATATATGCAAAAGTGTTAATCAACATCTGGACAAAATACTGAAAATGAAGAAAACGTGAGAATTTATAAAGAAACCACTGTCCATCCTGTCCAGCAAATGTGGCAGGAACGTTTTGGAAAAATAATCTCTGTGGCAAATGAATATAACAAAATGGAGGAAAAGCACCTTTTCTTCCCCATATGAATGAGAAGAAACCAATAGTTCCTTCTCTCTAAGGTGCTAATGAGTGCCCAGATATGTGTAATTAGTGTCCAGAACCTTTTCACAGTTGACTATCCCATAGATAGTCAGCTCTGAGATGTAAGTGCTCTGGGTGTATGAAGAAATGAAAAAAAATTATTTAGAATGGAAACATCCACAGCATTTAGGTACGCATGGGAGACTTAATTTTATGTGTTGACCTTAGATCCCCAGACTACATATCAGTGGTACATGTCTAAATGGTTTTTTTTGAAAGGCCCGGGTGAATCTGAAAACTGGGTTTTGTATTTAAAGGAATACTTGAACCTAGATCTATAGTGCATGAGTTTAAGCCCATTTCCTGCCTCCCCTTTGAGAATTGGCAGCCTTAAAACCCTTCATCCAAGTTTCTAACTGATACATCTGAGGTGGGCAGTCCTTATTTTGGTCTTTCAAGAATACCTTTTTCTTTCCCATAGAGTTTTTAAAAACTCCATGTAATTGGTGCTCTTTTCTGGGAATTATTACCAAATCATAAAATCTAAAATTAGTTGTCTCTCCTCCCTAGTCATTGTATGAAGACAAACTCATGGAAGGAGGTTTCATAAAGGCCTATTAAGTTCAGGAAATCCTTGTGCTACAGAGTGCTGAGAGCTGAAAAGGGTATTAAAGAAGCATCAACAAATACTTGTCCTATTCTTAGTCTCTTTGAAGACATCCCCTGTCATTATGATCGGAAAGGGTGCAGAGTTAGCTGATTCTGCAGGGTTCCTCTCTGCTGGTCCGTGGCACAGTATTTCTCATTGCATTTGAAAAATAAGAATCTGTCCATGATGGTACTTAGAATAGATCACTGGGACAAATGTTTTCAGAGGGTTGGAAGAACTGGCTTCAACTGTCAGTGGCCTGGACAAAGCAGTGCTGTACTGAAAGGATGGAGAGGAGGAGATGGCAGGGAGAGCTGGGAGCTGCCTGCAGATACATGACTTCCACACTGTCTTTGCTGATCCCAGAGCAGGTACTTCCAGGAGCATCCCTGGTGGTGAGATATCTGGTTTTGTGTCTTGCTCCCTTGTCTCTTTCCTTAGATGTGCTTTCCTTGGTGGGCGCCTCAGCCTGAACACAGTGACTTCCAGATTTTCATTCCCTGCAAAATGTCTCCCACCACGCCTATGTTTAAAAGGGCATAGGATCCAGCCAGCTAATTTGTTCCTAGGTGGTTAAACTACTTCACTTGAGCTCCAGACCCTGGAGTAGGTTTAACATACTACTTAAAGAATATGTGAGCAGTGCTGTGCACAGGGACAGATCTGTATCTGCTTTAGAGCGATAATCTAATTGGAAGTAGTCCTTTGTGTAACCCTCTTAACATTTTTTACTATTCTGGGAAACCTCATGTCCCAAGTACTGTGGAATGTGGTTAGGAAAAACAGTGTTTTCTCAAATATTTCAGATGTGGAATATTTATTTTGTAGCCAGAGAAACTTGTTACCAAGCAACTGACCTTGAGTAAGATCCACTGGCAACTTGAAAAAAAAAGGAAAAAAACAAAGCAATTTACCTACTCATGCTGCATGTGAGAATTACAATGCAAGGAGAAGAAATTTATTACAAAATAAACATCTGTCAGGATTCATCGTTAGTGGTCTCAGATCAGTCAGGTCTTTTCACTTGTCCCTGAGTAATATAATTGACAGAAGAAACCACTAGTAAAGGTACTGGTCCAGGAAAACCAGTAATTTCAATCCATTTTGAAGAGTGTATTTTCAAAGCCCTGGATAATGGGGTTTGATTGTGCATTCTTCGCTGGTCCAAAACCAGGCAAGGACACAGCTTGGAATTCTGATGAGATTATTTTATTGACTGAATATAATTGCTTGAGCAGGCTTCCAGAGGCTCAGGTATTATTTGTTTTTAGAGTTCAGGTACCCAAGCTGTTTTTTAGAAGGAGCTAAAGATGCTCGGCTTGCACACAGTGGATGAAGCCCAAAATGGGATATAAATTGCTTTGAAGGAAACTTGGACCAGTGTGGAGTAAGTGTTCCACACAAGAAAAGCATTCTTTACTGCACAGATCTGTTGAACGGGGAGTGTCTGACTGGGGAGTTCTTGGTAAGCAAAGTTGCCCATCTCACTGGATGCATCAAGGGCAAAAAGTCTTTCTGGATGAATTCTGATGTCATGGAGATTCATTCCCTGCAGTGGGAAGGGCTGTGATCAGTTCTTCCACCTCTGCTTCTGGACTTTACCAGCCATACTACTGGGAGAGCAGTTCATTAACTGCTCTTTTCAAAGGTAAGTGGCCTGTTTTGCCACAAGTGGGCACAATAGAAAATGCCACCTGCCTGGATAAAAAGGAAGGGGAGAACATTAATGTTGCTTGATACAAGAATCAGGCTTGTAGAGAAGTCTTACGGAGAAGTGAGTCACAAAACTCTAAAAAGAGCTGTGAATTTGGAGGGTTTTAGAGCA